GAGAGAGAGAAAAAGAGAGAGAGAGAGAGAGAGAGAGAGAGAGAGAAAGGGAAGAAGGAAGGGGGGAAGGAGGGAGGGAGGGAGACAGAGAGAAAACAAACTGTTCTACCATTAAGCTAATGAGACCCAGATTTGAGTGTTCTGCTATTTTATCAAGACAGGGTTTCTCTATGTGCCACCACACTGAAATATTTAATGTGTACGAGTGTTCTGCCTGCACGTATTTAAGTGTATCCATGCATGCAACTGCCATGGAGGCCAGACAAGAATATCATCCCTTGGAACTGGAGTTACTAATGGTTGTTAGCACCACATGGGTTCGGGGAACAGAATCCAGGTCCTCTGAAGAGCAGCAGCAAGTGCTCTTAACCACTGAGCCATCTCTCCAGCCCTCACAGTGAAGTTTTTGATGGATAAGCAAATGACTGCTGTTTCCCAAGGCCTGCAGCAACACAACATACCAAAATCATTTTGATACTGCGGTAACCTCACAGGTTCCAGGTGAACCAGCCACTCTGCCACCACTGACGCTGCCTGTCACAGTCTGTCAAGTGTGTGTATCTGAGAGAAGCTGCGCACACTCACCTTTGGTCCCTCATAAAGGAAAGAATCCCATATTTTAAAAAGGATGTCACTGACGACACTGTCCACAAACACCACCAGAAACCAGTTGAAGGTGATGAGGGTGTAGTCCACTTTGTACTGTTCAAAGTGGGCATGCAGTCGAGGCAGCTTCTCACTCAGGAGGTCTCTGAACACCCGCTGATCCACCTGGAGCAGGAACGAAGGGGAGAAGGGTCTGGGGTCTGCCGTGGCACAGACAAGCTAATCAGAACAGATGCCCAAGCTGAGACAAACAGTGGAACCTGCAGCAACACAGCTGATTCAAATGTATGCCTTAGGGCTCGTCACAGAGCCAGATTGCTCTGTGGCCCAGGGACAGCTGACTTCAAACCCCTTGGGACTGCTAAGTGGCACATTCTCCGTAGGGCATGGAGAAGTGGGGGTGGGAGTGGGGTCTGTAGCCTGAAACCAGTACCTGCACTCAGTATCTCAGGGGAGAGCAGGCTGCTGCAAAGAGCGGACAGGATGTCAGCCTTGCTAACCCACCTGTGAATACAGATGGTGGGGACCCAAAGGGTCATAATAAGCCTGAATCTTGGACAGGTGCATGTGGCAGGACGAGTCTTGAACCAAGAGTAAATATAATATTACCATCTATGCCCATGCAATGAATATTTAGCAGGCCCTATGGAGCAGGGTGGGTAGCAAGAACTCTAGAAGTGGAAAAACCTCTGTGGATCTCATCTCTAGCACTTATTGCACTCGCACATCTACAAATGACATTCTAAACAGTTCTGTGCCTCATCTGGAAGACAGTTAATGACATCTCTCTTATATACTGCACTTTAGAGAGAATTAAGAGATACATAAACTATTAACAAGACAGACAAGCCACAGGTAGCTATAGCTGGGCAAAAGGCCGAATAAGGTTTAAGGATGACCTCCAGGATGTAAGATGAGTAGGGCAGTTGGACACAGGGACTAGCATAACTGTGGGCAGGTCCCAGTGACCCTAGAAGATATCAACAGCACAGATGGCCAGGGCTCAGGCTTCTAGGATGAGGGTTGGGAAGCCAGTAAGGTGACTCTGCCACAAGGGGCTCTACCTGCTTTGTGTGTATCCCCCACAAAACACCTGACTTCAACTGTGTGTATGTGCAAAACAGAAACAAAAGTCTCACAAAACAATGTTTAAGTTCACACAGTGGGACTCAGTTTCACTTGACTCACAAAGTTAAATCAATCTACGAAACCCTATCTCCACCCCCAGTTAGAAAACACAGCAGAGAGGGAAGGTGAAGTTCCTCAAGGCCTTCAGCAGGAAGCTAACACAGCTGGGCCTAATCCTCAAGGCCTTCAGCAGGAAGCTAACACAGCTGGGCCTATTCCTCAAGGCCTTCAGCAGGAGGATAACACAGCTCTATTCCTCAAGGCCTTCAGCAGGAGGATAACACAGCTGGGCCTATTCTTCAAGGCCTTCAGCAGGAGGATAACACAGCTGGGCCTCATCCTCAAGGCCTTCAGCAGGAGGCTAACACAGCTGGGCCTAATCCTCAAGGCCTTCAGCAGGAGGCTAACACAGCTGGACCTGCTCTTTAGGTCCATCCTTCTAGCTGCAACAGGAAGCCAGACTGGGCAGAAAGGTGTGCTGCCCAAGAGGCCCAGCTATAGGCCCTGCTATGGCCCTTGGCCAAACTGATGAAAATGGGACCCAAAGGACAATAGACGGAGGAGGGCACGCTAGATTTCAAAACTTCCTGAAGGGAACTGCTATGGGATGTACCTTGCCTTTGGTGAGAGGTAAGGTGCTCAGAATAGGGGAAGGAAAGGGCAGTGGCAGGGCAGAGCACAGGAGTAAGGGTGGCGTGGGAAGACTACAACTGCTGGGGTCCAGGGCACCTCTACCAGGAGATCCCAGGCAGAGGCAGCAGGAGCCACTACAGGTGAGTGGCAGAATGTTGAGAACAAGGTAAAGAGGGAGCAGGCTGCAAAGGCACAATGGGCCAAGTCAGCCTCTGGAGGACAAAGGCCATGGTGGATGAAGGCTGTGGAGTGGGCATGCCGAAACTGTGGGGCGGGACACCTTTTTGGGCACTGCTGATCGGAAGTCATCCAGATGACCACCTTGGAGAGCAACTTGACGGCATGCAGACACTTAAGGTGCTCATATGGTGAATGTATCTACAGCAAGTATGCTCCTGACACAGCTGCAAAACTTTCAACTGCACCCCAGTAGAGTGAGAACAGCAGGTTGCAAGCATTATTGGGATTACTGGAACACTAACTAGAAACAGTCTAGTTGAATGATAAAATAACATTACAAAATGTTATTCTTAAGAGCAATTCAAAACTTTTAAAAAGTCAACTATTGCTGGGCATGGTGGCACACACCTTTAAATCCCAGCACTAGGGCAGAGGCAGGCGGATTTCTGTGAGTTCAAGGCCAGCCTGGTCTACATAGTGAGTTCCAGGACAGCCGGGGCTACAGGGGGACCCTGTCTCAAAAAGACCAAAAAAAAAGTCAACTGTTTGTTGGAAGTTTTGTTTTCCTTTAAATAGAAACCATTAAAAAAAAATTTTTTTTTTGTCTTTTTTTGAGACAGGGTCTCCCCGTAGCACCAGCTGTCCTAGAACTTACTATGTAGACCAGGTTGGCCTCAAACTCACAAAGATCCGCCTGCCTCTGCCTCCCAAGTGCTGGGATTAAAGGCGTGCACCACCATGCCCACTGCTTTTGTTTTAGAAAGCACAGTTAAGTAAGTTCAAGTAGGAACCCCTGATTGAAATTTAAAAATTTAAAAGGAAGGTCTGGAAAAATGGCTCAGTGGTTGAGACCACTGACTGCTCTTGCCGAGGACCCGGGTTTGATTCCCAGCATCCACATGGTGGCTACGAACTGTCCTTAACTCCAGTTCCAGGGGAATCTGAAGCCCTCTTCTGAACTCGGCAGCACTGCAGGACACGGGTGCACTCACATACATGCAGGCAATACATTCATACACATAAAATAAAAATAATAAATATTAAAAAATAGCCGGGCGTGGTGGCGCAAGCCTTTAATCCCAGCGCTCGGGAGGCAGAGGCAGGCGGATCTCTGGGAGTTCGAGGCCAGCCTGGTCTCCATAGCAAATCCAGGCCAGCTGGGGCTAGAGGGAGACCCTGTCTCAAAACCCCCCCCCCCAAATTTTTAAAAAATAATAAAAAAAAATTTAAAAGGCAAGTTAAAAACTGTCACTTATGGTGGTCTATATCTATAATCATTGTACTTGGGAGGATCTGCAGTTCTAGGGTAGCCAGAGCTACACTGCAAGACCCTGTCTCAAAATCCAAAAATAAATGAACAAATAGCTAAAACACTGTGCATATTTTTACACATAAAGATGATTCTAAAAAGTTATAAATGCACAGTAGAGTGGACAAAGGACACAAAAACAGTAATTACAGACTGAAAACACGTAACAGGAGACAAAATCAAAGATACAAATTAGCTGAAATAAAAGGCTGTAAAGCCCTGTCTCACCCCACCTATGCCTGCCTGCCCTTGTCAAACCTAGGTAAGTGGTAAACTACTGACAGCTATCTCCAAAGCTGCCAAACTGTCCCACGGTGTGCTTTAGGCAGTCAAGCCAGGCCTGCCTGGTGTCAATCACCTAGAAGCCCTGCCCCTGTGAGCACCATCCCTGGGTTGTCAGATTATGTACTTTCCGTTGGTTACTTTATCCTTCCACACTCAAGTGATGACACATTTGCTAACACTTCAAGGCCCTGGCGATGGGGACCAGGTATTGCCTTGAAGAAGTTATAAAAATAATGAGATGTGGACAGCTGGCCATAAGACTGAGTGATGATACAGGATTTAGCCTTGGGGGTGGGGTGTCATCTGTAATGATGGGCTATCCACCTGGCCCTCAAGTGGAGATCTGTGTATATATCTTTTCTAACTGGGTGGCAGACAGCGCCTCACTTGAGGCTGCTGAGGGACTGGCAGAAGTGTGGGCATGGTGCAGGCTGCCAGGGAATGCTTACCCAGGCCTCTATTTCCTCCCTTCCTCCACTGAGCACTGGAGGACATGGGATAACTGTGTCATTCATCTCTGTGTCTGCAGTGCCTGGTGAGGTCCTGGCACATAGCGTGTACTTCAAGGACGGTAAGAATGGGAAAGCTGGTGAGCAGTCTGGCTACAGCAACAGTGGCCATTGGGCTTGGGGCTCTGGCAAAGCCAGCACTGCAGCTGATGACACACCTAAACCAGCCCCCATTTTAGGAGCAGTCTTACCCAACAATAAGGTGCAGAATGTCTATGCTATATACATCTGCTGAGGGATGAAAACAGGCACCAAACATCAGGGTAAAAAAACAACAGGAAAGACACCACAACCAGAGATAGCAATGCTTTTGTTTTTCTTATTCCAAAACACAAGAGATTTTTTAAATTTTTATTATTTTTATTTTATTTGTATGACTGTATTGCCTACATGTATGTAAATGCACCCTTGTCATACAATGTCCATGGAGGTCAGAAGAGGGTGTCAGATCCCTTGGAACTGGGGTTGCAGATGGTTGTTAGCCACCATGTGGGTACTGGGAACCAAGCCCCCAAAACACTGAGATTTTTAATTGGAGCCTTTGGTGCTATTAGTTTTCAGGGGCTAGGCATATATAGCTTATTTACTAACTTTTAAAAATCCCATCTGACTGAGATCACTGCCTCATCCCATTGCTATCCACCTCCTTCCTAGCTTACAAACTCATGTAACAGAGCAACAGTTTATGGATAATCAGCAAGTAAAGTGATAGCAAGGAGACAAGGCAAGCTTCTCCTGGCATCCATGGATAGCCACGACGCCGGGATGGGGACCTGGATTTGGCATCTGAGGGAAGGCCAGAGCTCAGTTTCTTGCCATGCTCCAGCTGACTGTAGATGGAAAGAGGGGGGCAAGCTTAGATATAGGGCTGCCAACATCCAGTCCAAATTGCAGCTTCACCCCTTGGCAGCTGCACTTAAAATAACAGTTTTTTGCTGGGAGTGGTGGTGCACACCTTTAATCCCAGCACTTGGGAGGCAGAGGCAGGCGGATCTCTGTGAGTTCCAGGATAGCTGGGGCTACAGGGAGACCCTGTCTCAAAAAGACCGAAAACAAAAAAAACAAAAGAAACATTTTTTAAAATTACATTTATTTGTGTGCATATGTATGTGTATGTGTGGAGGTACCCCATGGCATGCATATGGGTGGAAGTCAGGAGACAACTTGTGGGAGTCGGTTCGGTTCTTACCTCATTTGGGTTCCAGGGATCGAACTCAGGTCCTTAGGCTTGCAAGGAGCACCTTACCTACTGAGCCATCTGACCAGCCCCCCTTTTAGACATTTATTTTGGGGTGTGGGGTGTATGTGCATGCACCATGGTGCATTCATGGAGATCAGAGGACAACTTGCAGGCAGCTGCATCTTGTTCAGTAATTCTGACCCTCCATATCTGCTGAGTCAAATGGGATAAGGCCTCTACCTAAAAGGACTTAGCTACTGGTATGAGGCCAGGGCTCACTAAATGCCAGTTCCCTTTTCTTGGTCAAACAGTAGCTCTTGTAGGCTCTGACATTTACTTTGCAGAGCTTTGGGCATCCTAAGAAGACAAAGCTGTGGCCCTGAAGGTACCACTGACTAACTGGAGGATAGGTAGATAGGCAAGGGCAATCCAGTTTGATAACCATCACAGGAGTGTTGGGAATCAAAGCAGCCTTATCAGCTATCCTGGCGAGACAGCAGAGTAAAGGGGAGGCTATGTGTGCTAGGACTGACCTAGAGCTTTCCAGATGAGCAGGGAATGGTGTTATAGTTGAGGGCACCCCAACACAGATAATCTACCATTTCAGGGTGCACTGTGTCTAGCAGCAACATACGAGGTGGGAACCGCTCACCAGCCTGTAGGGTGGCCTAAGTGGAACAAAAAGAGAGAGGAGATGCTGTATGGGCAGGTGTGTTCCCCAGGGGTCCTGGTTCCTCTAAGGGGTAGGGCCTGCTGCGAAGAGTTGACTGCGGAGAGTTAGCAGCAGAAGGAGGGGCTTTGGCTCATCTTGGGACAGGAGCCAGGAGAGGTGGACATGGAGAAGAGATGGCCTAGCCTCACCGCATTTACAGGGCATTTATGGGCCGGGGGCAAGACTGGTGGCCCCTGAGGCATGGGCAAAAGCCAGCAGTGACTATGGGCATGCCACAGGACCGATCTGGTATGGCCGGCTCTGAGCCTCAGCACAGAGCTGAGTGTGGAGCTAGACACTGGGTGTTCGTTTCTTTGTAAGTCACTCCCCTCCCCCGCCATGATAATAATAAATGTACATAAAGATATGTTATATGGTTTGCCTGATAGTGCAAGAGACCCAGAGAGAACTCTGGCGACAGAAGGCATGCCAGGTTTGCTATGAACCCGGAGAAGCAACTATGGAGCAATCATGGCAGTGGCTGAGACAGGAGGAGCCTGTGAGGCAGACCAGAAGCAGAGAAAGGGCCCAAACAGCAGCCAACAAAGTGGGACAGCCCCAGCCCGTGGAGAGAGATGCCCAGAGATACAAGGCATGACATACACCCAGGAGGAGACAGATGCTAGGGCTTCTTCTAGTCCACATCACCCTACCCTGGCCCCTGGTGTTAGGATCCAGGTGTGAAATGAGACATGTGCCACTCAGATCCCCTGATAGAAGAGGTGACTGCCAATCCTACTGCTGCTCCTCAAGGTCCATCACTGTCTGTTCTCAGAAGCCAGCCAGTGGCAGGGCAGGGCACTGAGGAACTACTCCTGGTGTACCTCTCTCTAACAGCCACAACCTCTGCCCAACTCTCCTTCCTTTCCCTGGCTGGAGGCTCTCCCAGCTTCCTCAGTAGCCTTTTTCCCCCCAGCGACACATCTCCTCCCACCTGACATCTGTATCCTGGCAGACCCAACCTAACATACCAGACTCTGAGTTGGGCTCTGTTGCCTGCAGAAACCAGTTGTTGAGGTTATGTACAAAGCCTCCCCAATGGGGTTAACTCAAGTGACAGCTGTAATTCTCCAAGCTGGTAACCAAGACACAGTATTTTAAAAAGTGCCTGGGATCCTGGGGTTGGAAAGATAGCTCAGTGATTAGGGACACTGGCTGTTCTTACAGAGGAACTGGGTTTGATTCCCAGCACCCAAATGGCAGCTAACAACCATCCGTAATTCCAGTTCCAGGGGATCTGATGCCCTCTTCTTACCTCTGCAGGCATTGCATGATATGGGTACGCTTACATACATGCAGGCAATACACTCATACACATAAAAGAAAAATAAATTTTTAAAAATTTAAAGGAAAGTACCTGAGATCCTAAAAGAGTCTTAGTGTAATAGTCTCGGGGCATGAAGACTTCCACAATGGTAACCAAACACCAGAAAGCATCTTCTTGTTCTAAGTAAAGAAGGGCCACTGCCACCAACCTACAAGCAAATGGGGAGAAAAGTCAGTGCTGGCCTTGGGCCTGTCGTCACCCAGATGTCTGCTGAAGCCATTTCTCTCATGGACCATGTGATTTCTAGTTCTCTAATAATGAAAAATGAGTAAGTATTCCCAGCCAAGTGAGGAATCTTCTAAAATTTGAGAAGCAAAGTCACACTCCTCTGATCCTGTCAGTTGACTTTTGTTCAAAGTTGAAATTATTTCCCAGTGACATTGCTTCCATATGATCAGCCTTGTTTTTATAACTTTAAAAAATTTAATTAATTAATTTTTTATTTTTATGTGTATGAGTCTTTTGCCTGCATGTATGTTAAGTATAATTGTGCATGCAATGCCCAGAGGCCAGGATCAGCCTTATTTATTGTTATTATTTTGTTTTGTAACAGGGTCCCCCTATACCCTAGCTAGCCTAGAACTCACTTTGTAAACCAGGCTGGACTTAATTATTATCTTTTATATGCCTTTATTATTATCTTAAAATTTTATTTATTTTTTATTTTTATGTGTTTGAGTGTTTTGCCTGCATGTAAGTGTATCTGTGTTGTACAATGCCTACAGAGGCCAGAAGAGGGCACCAGGTCCCCTGGAACTAACAGATGGCTGTTAGCTGCCATGTGGGTGCTGGGAACCAAAACCCCTGCCCTCTGCAAAAGCAACCAGTGCTCTTAACCACTGAGCCATCTCTCCAGCCCCACTGGCCTTACTTTAATTTTGATAAGGTAGCTAGTTCTTTGGGTTCATTGCTTAATAAGTTCTAATCGATCCTTTAGTTTCAAAAAATGTGAATGTAAGTAACAGAGTATAAGGTAGTTTAAAAACAGTCTGATTTCATAAGCTTCCACACTGGAGAAAGAACCCCACTGACAGCCTTATCCAGGTGTGCACATGGGGTGGGAAAGAGGCCCACATGTACCAACTTCTGTGTCATTCATAACAGAAACTTGGCTCTAACTGTCTCCATGTTGTCATAATCAAAAATTGCTGCCAGCACAGTAGAGCATAGCTAATCCCAATTACTCAGGAGGCTGAGGCAGGAAGATCACTAGTTAAAAGTCATGCTTGGGCAAGTTGGCAAGACCCTGCTTCAAAATTTAAAATAAAGGTGTGTGTGGAAAGGGAGGGAAGTACTGGGGATGTAGCTCAGTGGTATAGAGTTTGCCTTGTATGCTTCTGGCCTTGGAGTCCAATCCCCAGCATTATAAGAAAGGGTAGGTGCTGTGGGTGTGCTCACTGGCAAAGTGCTTACTTAGCACACGTGACATCCTAGGTTCCATCCCCAGAACTGGGACAGAGCTGAGAGGAAGGCCCCTCTCTACTTAGCTGAAATCTAGGAAACTCTGCCTAAAACACAAAGCTTATTTGTGTGTCACTCATAGGAAAAAAACAACAAAAAATGCCCTTTTTCAGAATTTGCTCTTCTCCTGATTCCTTAATAAAGGAATAAATAAATTTCAGATTTGAAAAAATAAAAAAGGACCTGGGTTAGGTGACAAGGGAATGACCCCAGTTATAAAAGGATGGAGAGGAAAGGTGACAATGGAGGGCAGAAACAGAGAAAGTTCCTGAAAGTGCAGAAACCAAACGCCCAGCACCTCAGGATGCCAGGAAAAGAGGTGAAGAGTTTAACAGAAACACTGTCAAGATATCACTTAAATGAAATGATGCTGAAGATCAAAGGCCTGGATCATCAAGAAAAAGCTCCAGTTCTACAAAAGATCTAGGTACTCAGAAGGCATGGACATGCACCAAGTACTCTGACCAGTTAAAATTCAGAGGCATACATAATAAACATGGGAACAAGACAGAGAGCTCTGAATACCAGGAAGATCACTCATGTGTAGAACTGTTTCCAAGACAATGCCGGGCAAGTGGAACACAACTGAACCCCAACAGGCAAGTCCTCACCCAGGATCCCCTGGACTCAGAGGTTTTTGGCTTCTAGCAAGTTTTGAATTAAGTATATAACATGAATTGTGGCTTTAAGTAAAACCGAGTCTGCTTTACGAAGGGCATTTTGTTTTGTTTGTGACAGAGACTGGCTAGGAGCAGCTGAAGTTCTTGTTAATCTTCCAAGGTCAGAGAGAGCCCACCCTTCCTCACAGCCACAGAGGTCATAGCTTCCTAATGGCCATCTGGCTTCCTGTGGGTCTTAATCAGGTAGCAATCCTGTTTTAAACCTTTCCTCCTTCAATACTCTCCTTTTAGACACGGTTTACCCAGAGGTCAGCACTTTGCATAGGTTAGGAGCAAAAGGCATCTGAGCAGCCAGACTCAATGCCAACATTCTAAATTCAAGCTCATGCACTTGGCTTACGTGCATCTTCACTTTTATTTTCTAACAGCCCTTGGTCACCTACCATCCCTACCTAGAAAGGAACACAAACTACTATGACAGTAGAAAGCAGAAATAACAGAAAGTGTATCATCCAATGCCTAGTGCTGGGAGGAGCTTGGTGGGCAGCAGATCTTGAGACTCCTAAGGCTTCAACCTGGCCCAGCAAAGCCTGGATGACAAGCCTGGATCATTAACAAAAGGTGAGAGTCCTGAGTGTTCTCTGCTTATGGAAGTAAGGAAAGGTTCAAGACCTATAAGAGTCAGCTTAGTGGGTCACAAAACAAAAACCAATAGACATGCACATAAGAGAGCAATAGATCTGTGGGGAGGAGGGGGAATGAACAGGGATGGTAAGGAGATGGCAGAGGATGAGGGGGATGAGAGTGGTTGGCATGCATTGTGTACAGTGTAAAATTGTCTAAGAACAAATTTAATAGAAAAAAAAAAGTTTAGGTCATCCTTCAAGGGCCAAGTTTTAATAAACTGTGAAATTGTTTAGGATCCTATAATAAACAAGTAACACAAGTTTTTGCTCTATGAATTATCAACTAATGCAATCAGATTCTTATGATTAAAACCCAAGTGTGAAGAGAAAAGCAAGGAAGGAAAAAATGGGACCCCAAGCTGTTTCAAGTGAATCTGACTTTGGTGCTTATTAGTTCTGGTCTTGGGGATTGAACCAGGGCCTCATTTGTGCCAAGAACACACTTAACCACTGAAATACATCTCCAGCCAACTTCTGTGCTCATATTTTCTGAAAGCATGTTACTTCCCTGAGTTATTCTAGAACTGGGAAATTCTATCTTAAAAAAACTTTTTTGCAGCCAGGTATGGTGGCACACACCTTTAATCCCAGCACTCAGGAGGCAGAGGCAGGCGGATCTCTGTGAGTTCAAGGCTAGCCTGGTCTACATAGTGAGTTCCAGGACAGCTGGGGCTACAAGGAGACCCTGTCTCAAAAAGACCAAAAAAACTTTCTTGCTGTCATCCCTTCTTTCCTTTAAAATACAGCCTTTTCTTAGCCAGGCAGGAAGGGACTGGCCAGGTACTGCCCAGTGCCTGGACATTCTCTAACTGGCGGATGGATATAGTCTGATACCCACCTGTTCAGGCCCTGGCAGTAGCCGATATCTGGATTTCGCCAGGAGAAGGCGAGAAGGACGCTGCGTAGCTTCTGGATGCCCTCTGAGGTGGGGCAGGAATAATGTTTGTTGTTGGGCAGAGTCCGTAGCAGGTCCAGCTCGATTTGCTTGGAGGCTGGGTTCTGTTTCTCCAGAGCCTTCTGAAGCAAGGTCTGGAAGTAGCCCGGCTCAGTGCTGTCCTTGAACTTCCTGGTGTGACGGTCCACGCACCACTTCCATACCTTGGAGCGGTGTTCATGGGGAATGCCTGCTCGGATCAGGTTTTTCAGCTCTGGAGAACACACCATCTCTCTGTTCATTGTGCTAGCAAAATAGTTTTCCCACTTGACCCCAGTGGAAACTTCCTGGTTTTCTGTGAGGTACAGAGTCTTTAGGTCCAACGCTCGGACCTTGGCGACCAACTTTTCTTCCTCATCATCATCAGGAACTGTCCTAAACCCATAGATATCATACTCACTGCAGACAAATAACAAAGAAAAATGAAAATGGCATAGTCTTGACCAAAGGTGCAGTGGAGTAGGCTGGAGGACCTAGAGCTCAGTTCGTGTATGTGTACCAGTTTGCTGTACAGAGTCAGGATACAGTTCCCAGAGGACCTGAGTTCAGTTCTCAGCACCCAAATGGTGACTAGCAACTATGCATAACTAGTTCTAGGGGATATGGCAGCCTCTTCTGGCCTCTACACACATTTCATGAATGGGTACATTTACATACATTATAGGCAAACACTCATACACATAAAACAAAATAAGACTTTTTTTTTAAACTAGCAAGCAAATAACAAGCCACTCAATTAAGAAGGGCTGGGGCAACTGGTCGTCTATGTGAAAAGATGGAACAAGATTTGTTCTTGGGAATATACAGGAAAATAAAGTCAATTTCAAAGAGGTTAGAACTAGCAATATGAAAAACACAGAAGAACGTCCAATCAAGATCACAAAAACAAGACATATTATGGTGGTGCACACCTCTAATCTCAGCACTCAGGAGGCTGAGGAGGGAAGATCATGAGTCTGAGGCAAGTCTGGGTATACCTAGCAAGAAATTGTCTCCAAACAAGAAAAAAAGAAAGGACCTATGTGGCTATGCCCACATAGATGTACGTGTCTGTGTATGCATACATCACACATATGCATACAACAACTTCATGCTTCAAAAGACATAATTTTAGGCCCTTAATCTCAGTACTCGGGAGGCAAAGGCAGGTGGATCTCTGTGAGATGGAGGCCAGCCTGGTCTCCATAATGTGTTCCAGGTCAGCTGGGGCTACAGGGGGACCCTGTCTCAAAAAGGGAAAAAAAAAAGACCAAACAAACAGATGTCACTTTAAATTTTAATAAAAATAGTATCCTGCCAGGCATGGTGGCACACTCCTTTAATCCCAGAACTTGGGAGGCAGAGGCAGGCAGATCTCTGTAAGTTC